CCCCAAGAGGCCCAGACTCCTTGCTCTCCCTGAAGCCCTCATTACATGAGCCCCAAAGATTTTACCTCCTTGGCATCTCTTGAATCCAATGCTCCATCACCCCACACTCCATGGCCCATCACCCCTCACCACTCACTGTGACCCTCGCTGATCTTCCCCCCTGCACCTGCTCCCACCAATCCTTCCTCCTGGGCCAGCTGCAGCCACAAAATGGTCTTTCTCAACCCCAGATGGCGCTTCTCTACTTAAGAACCTTCAAAGACTTAAGACCTTCCATGGCTTCCACTGCCTGCGGGATAAAGCCCAAATCCTCACCAGGGGCAGCCCTGGCCCTGTCCCCTAACACTGTCTCCTCTCTCACCTGTCCCATCACCCTGACCCTGTCCCCTAACACTGTCTCCTCTCTCACCTGTCCCCCGTCACCCTGGCCCTGTGCCCTAACACTGTCTCCTCTCTCACCTGAGCCCCGTCACCCTGGCCCTGTGCCCTAACACTGTCTCCTCTCTCACCTGTCCCCCGTCACCCTGGCCCTGTCCCCTAACACTGTCTCCTCTCTCATCTGTCCCCCGTCACCCTGGCCCTGTCCCCTAACACTGTCTCCTCTCTCACCTGTGCCCCGTCACTCTGGCCCTGGCCCCTAACACTGTCTCCTCTCTCACCTGTCCCGTCACCGTTGTGAACTCCAGCCCCACTGACCCATGTGTGGTTCCAGATCACAGCCTCTCAGTTCCCTGCAGGCCTTTCATGTGCTGTCCCCTCCACCTGCAACGTTCTCCCACCTGGAACCCTTGCTTTTGTAGGACCATCGCTGTGATGCGAGGGCCCTGAGTCGGTGATGGGGAGGAGCGAGAGGTCCGTGGAAAGAACCTCGGCTTTCGACTCACACAGTCCCAACTCCTCTCTGAGCTCAGCTCCGGTGAGTAACGAGAGGGAAAGAACAGCCTGGAGGCTGATGAGCAGAGCTCAAGGCCTCACACTGGGGTTGGACCGAGACCGGAGCAGTTCTGAGACAGGCCAGTTCCGGACGCCTGGGGCCGGCGCCCCACAAACAGTGCTCGGGTCTGTGCGCGTGGCGCACACCAACGTGGCGCACACCGACCTGTCGGACTCCGGCTCATGATGATGGGGGTGGTGGCTGCCCCCAGGCTGGGGCTCTCGCTGCTTGGGGACGGGCTGTAGACAAACACCTCCTGCTTGAAGGGCGAGGTTGTGGACGGCTGGCTGCTCTGGGGAGAGAGGCCGGGTGAGCGAGGCGGGCCCACCCTCAGCTGACCCGGGCGGCCCCTGCCTCCCACTGCCCGCTGGGACACGCTCTTTCCTCCTGCTGCCTCCGGCCCTGGCTCCCCTCCACCCCCAGGCAGTGCCCCTGACCACACCCAGGCAGCGCTGAGCCCTCTCCTCTCCAGCCAGGAACCCCACGGCAGGGACACGCTCAGCCTGACCTCTGACCCTCTGCTGCTGCTGCTCCTCTGTCACCCCAGGGAGACCCCGAACCACCGCTCCCAGAGGGTGGAGACGGCTGGGGGTGCCACCTCTTGTTTCCAAACTCCCCGCTCTCCCCGGAGCCGGGAGGGGGCTCTGCCCACCGGAGCTATTTTAACACCCAGAGCCTGGGCCCAGGTTGGCCAGGCCGCACCTACCCCACTGTCACACTCCTCCATGGCCTCGCCCTCCCCGGCCGTGCTGCTGAAGCTGCTGGTGCTGGAGGAGGAGCGGGAGATGTTGGCCCGGCCGTTCTCCTTCAACTTCATGAAGGGCCTGCAGGGGCGGGAAGGCGGCCCTGGTCACACGCGGGGGCCGAGGGCAGGGCAGGCCCCGCACAGACTCAATGGCTCCCCGTGGGCCTGCCTGCCGGCTTGTGCGTTCCACGGAGTTCCCAAAGCAGGAGATGCCGGAGCAGAGACCTATTCCAGGGCCCGCGGGGCTGAAGCCGCCTCCCCACCCTCACTCTTACTTCTCCTTGCTGGGGCAGATCTCCGGAGAGCTGGGGTTGGACGAGGTCTCAGACTTGATCTCCTGAGAAGAGTGCCCGCCGTCCACAGTCTTGGGGTTGCTGGATGCACTGTCGCTGGGGAGATGAGGATGAAGACGGGTGAGCCGGTTCCCAACCCCCACCTCACCCCCAGGCCCGAGACTGCACCACGGGGGCCTGTGGGGTCACAGCATCCCTGACAGAGCATGGCCACCAGGACATCTATCCCACCCCTGCCCCCATCAGACAACAGGGTCTTCTGCTTTGCCAGGGTCCCCTGCGGCCTCCTGGGTGCGAGTCCAGAGCTACCAGGCAGGAGTCCCGGCTTGATGCCCCCGAGCCCAAGTCCATCCCAGCTGGCAGAGCTTTATTTAGGTCAAGGGCGGGCCACAGAGGGGATGGAGTGAGGGCTGGGACATCCACCATCACAGCCAGCGCACACGCACCCCTCGGGGCACCGGCGGGGCCAGGGCTGCAGATCGCCAGGGCACACCCTTCACACAGGCTACAAAATGCGCTCCCCGGAGGCGTGTGCTGAGTGCTGGGAAGGGCTTCTGGGTAAATAGGCTACTCGCAGCCGGGCCGAGGGTTACCTTCTGCATTTTAACAAAGGCCACAAACGCTGCCCATTAGCTGCTCGGTGCCCACTGTTGGGGCCCTGTCCCTAATGTACTTTTATTTTCGTGGCAGCTTTCGTGGGGATACAATCCACATACAACTCACTCATTTAAACTGTGCAATTCAGTGGTTTTTAGTATATTCACGACCATGCCTGCCATCTAATTTTAGAACATTCCTACCCCCCCTCAAAGAAACCCCAGACCCACTCACAACCACTCGCATTCCTCCCCGCCCTGGCCCCTGACAGAATCTACTTCCTGTCCCTACGGATTTGCCTCTTCTGGACATTTCCTATGAATGGAGCCATACAATATGGTTGGTCTTTTTATGAGTGGCTTCTTTCACTCAGCTAGTGTTTTAAAGGCTCATCCATGTTGTAGCCTGTGTCCCTCAGCACTTCACTCCTTTTTACTGCAAGATAATGCTCCACTTTTTGGATGGACACGTGGACCGTTTCCACTGGGGGCTACTATGACAACGCTGCCACGGACATCCGTGTGCCGGTGCTTATGCAGACACGTGTGTTCTTTCCCTCGGGCATGCACCTGGCGTGGAACTGCTGGGCCTTATAGCAACTCCACGGGTAACCCTCTGAGGAGCTGACAGGCTGTTTTCTAAAGCAGCCTCACCAGTTCACAGTCCCCCCAGCAATGCATGAGGGTTCCAATCTCTCGACATCCTTGCCAACACTTCCTTCTTGTCTTTCTTATAAAAACCATCCTGGAGGCATGAAGTGCCTCGATGTACTTCTAATGAGGCCACCAGGGACCTCCTACGTGTCCACCCAGCAGGGGTTGGGGCCCCTGTGCTAGACTTCTCTGCTCGGCTGCCACTGCGGACCTCCCTCCCGCAGTGTCTCCTGCCCCGGCTTCTGAGGGCCTTCCCTCCCCTCCTCTCTTCCTCCTCGCTCCCCTTCCTTCCCTGTCTTTTCCCCTGGCTCTGCCTCCTTCTCCACTTGCCCTTTAAGTGCTGGTGCTCCCCAGGCATTCTCCACACCCCTCTGGGTGAGTGTATTCATTGATTCATCTTGAGCACCACCTCCCCGACCTCCCGCCCCCAGTGACTCCCACCTCTTCTTCTCCAGTCACCGCCTCTCCCCCAAGCTCAAGACCAGGAATTCTGACCACTCAGAGCTCTGGGTCTCCCCCCTGAGTGGGCCACAAGGACTCACTCACACACAGCTTCCAAACAGAGCTCTCCATCGTCCTCCATCACTGCCCTCATCCTGCATGGCCAGGCCCGGCGGCTGGGGCACAGCCAGGGCTACAGGAATACAACTTGTACACGTGGAGGTCAACCTGCTGCCTCCCTTTCCTTCCCGAGACTATAAGCTCCTGGAGGGCAGGTTTGCGTCTTTGGAGCTCCTGTCTGAGCACTGAGCCCCACACGCCCGGCACTCGAGGGCTGCTGCTCGGAACTAAACACCCGGTGTGCTCACTGACTGAAGGATCAGAAAGACAATTAGCAAGAACGGGGAAAGTAGGATATGAGAGCTGTTGAGCCGTACGAGTTCTTCACATATTTTTGGAAATTAACCCCTTATCAGATGTATCATTGGCAAATATGTTCTCCCACACAGTGGGCTCCCTCTTCATTTTGTGGGTGGCTTCTCTTGCTGTGCAGAAGCTTTTCAGTTTGATGTACAGTGGGGCCTTGACTTACGAGTGTCCCCACTAACGAGTTTTTCGAGATACGAGCCGTCTCTCGGCCGCTTTTTTGTTTTGAGTTGCGAGCTAAAATTCGGGTTACGAGCCAGCTTCAGATACCCCACCGCTAGTTGGCGCAGCGAATGTCACAGTGAACGCCACAACATCAGCCCAGCATCACGTGTCTCACTCGTTCACTGTTGATTTGACATACGAGTAATTTGAGTTACGAGCTCCGTCACGGAACGAATTAAACTCGTAAGTCAAGGCCCCACTGTAGTCCGTCTGCTTACTTTCCACTTTGTTTTATGCTGAGCAAAAGAAGCCAGTCAGAAAGAGGCAGCTGCCACATGATCTCACTTACAGGTGGGATCTAATGAATAGAATAAACTGACCAACAAACCGACATGGAGACATGGGACAGACTGAGAGATCTCAGAGGGAGGGGGAGGGGCGGGAAGAGATTAACCAGAGAACCTATATGCACATATGCATAGCCCAGGGACACAGACAGTAATGCGGTGAAGGCCTGGGAGGGGGTAGGAGCGGGGTGGAGCGGGCAAAGTGGGGAGAAATGGGGGACCTCTGTAATAAACAATGAAAATAAATTCTAAAAAAGGAAGGGAGGGGGGAGGAAGGGAGGGAGGAAGGAAGGAAGGAAGGGAGGGAGGAAATTCTGGAAGACCAAAGGCAGGTTCCATGAACTCTGCTGTCGGAATCAGGGAAGGCCTCCATAAAGAGGACATCTGAGTGAGCTTTGCAAAAGGAAGCACAGAGAGAAACGACTCTGAGCAGTGTTTCCAGCTGGGGCCAAACTGTGAGGAGAGCCCCTCTGACTGTGGGGTGCAGGGACCACAAAGCTGCCGAGTGGACACAGCACTGAATGAGTGACGGGGGACATGGGGGCCTGACGTGGGGACCAGGGTAAGAAGGAAGCCATCGCTCGAAGCTGAAGCTGCGCACAGCCCTCCCGAGGGAGCTCACCCACGCCACGCTGGACACTCACCACCGTGTCCGGCTGTCCCCTTGGCCTTCAGAACCCGTGTGCAGACGGGGGAAGAGCCCCGACCGCCGCTTGATGGGGCTCCGAGACTGGTTCTTGGCAGTTGCCGCTGCCACTGGAGGCTGCCAACGAGACCACCAGAATGAGCGCTCACTCCCCAAACCCAGGTCTCCTTCCCTCCACCCCCTTCCTGGTCTACAAAGAGCCTGTGCCCCAACCCCCACACCCACAACTGGTCTGGAGAGATCCCCAGAAAGAGACAGCTGGGAAGGGTGGGGTCTGTGGAGCAGGAGCTGTGACCTACGGCTCTAGCCACCTGCAGCCTGTTTTCCTGTGTTCTTAGCCCAACCCTTACGGCCCCGGGTAACAATCCACTAGAACAGAATTCCTGGAGGAACATGGGGTCAGGGCCACCCTAAGGAGAACCCCACATACTGAGAGGACAGGATGACTCAGGGGGTCACGGACTGGGAACCACAAAGCTGAGAGAGTCCTGGGAGGACAAATCCCTGGCAGGACAAGCATGAGGTGCACACGCACCCACAGGCAGAGGGAGCCTGCCAAGCATGTGGCTCTGCCTATGCCACGTGTGGGGGACAACGGACGGAGGGCGGCAGAATGAGAAGGGGGAGATGGGAGCCCGCCAGGCCTCTAAGCCAGGCCTGCCCCGGCGTTTGCCATTCCCATGCGGTGCAACCTTGGGCAAGTGGACGAATTCTCTGGGCCTCGGTCTCAGCCACAGATTGGAGAGAACTGCCCTGCCCCGCTCACCTCACAGACCCCCTGGGAGGAACAAGATAAACAGCTATGAAAACACTATTTGGTGAATCAAATGAATTACACAAGATCATTCACAAGACCAATTGCCAGTATCATGGTGGGTATGTTCTGCTACTACAGAAAAGAACAAGAAAACCCCAACGTGCACAAATCCACAGCCACTTTGCTTTATCAAAAGAGGGACTCTGGCCCCCTCACCTGGCCGGCTCCTGGTGCAAGCTGACCAGACCCAAACCCCCGGACTGGCCAGGCTCTCTTTTCTTAGAACTGTACACTGATTAGGAGCAAAGACTTAGGATCTGGGCGACCTACACTCAAAGCCCAGTTCTTCGGCTTTGCTGGGTGACCTCTAGAAAGTTGCCTAACCTCTCTGGGCCTCCCCTTCCTCGGATGTACAATGGACAGCACCCAGCACCTCCCTCAGACAGCTGTCACAGGGACCGTGAGTTACTTAGCTCAGTGCCCCGTGCACAGCAAGCAGGGGCAGCCACCTGTCGTTAGGAATCACAAAGGGAGGGCCCTCTCACAGGCCCAGGACCCAGGGCCACTGCGCAGGGTTGGTCCCGAGGAGGCCCAGGTGTCAAGGAACTCAGAGCAGGACCACAGGTGGGCTCCGGTCTGGGCCAGCCCCAGTGATCCGGCTCACCCTGCCGATCGCCTGGCCCAGGCCTGGGTGAACACACCCCTCCCCCCACCATGGCCTGGGGGGCCCCAGAGCCTGCAGACACTCACCGAGAAGGTGGTCTTGGTGACCTCCACGCTGTTGTGGGAGATGCCCCCGCTGAGGCTGCCGGGGAGGCCCCCCGCTGTGCGGCTTCTTCTGGCTGGTCACCATGGTCTCCATGGAGTGGCTGCGCACGCGGATGGCCCTCTGTGGGGACAGCAGGTGGGGGGGCCTGAGAGTTGCAGCCAGGCCTCTCCAGATGACCCCGCTGCCTCAGTGGGATCTGCAGACACACTCCAGGCTCTGTGCGCACATGTGCACACACACTCGCACACACACTCTCTCTCTTTCTCTCAGCGGCCCACATGTTAATCACTACAACCTGCAGAGGACTGTCACATGCTCTGGGCACGTGGCGCTCTGCAGGCAGAGGCGAGGGAGGACACTGGACAGAGGAGTCGGAGGGGCCAGCGCCCCAGATGCCCTGCGAGGTGGACAGAGGCTATTACGGGGAAGGAAAGTGGGGCTTGGAGAGCTTACCAAGCCTGAGCTTCCTCATCTGCAAACCAGGAATGACATGGTCCCAGCAGCAGAAAACTAAGCGTCCTTCTATATTTAAACACTGGGTATCCCTTCTGCTGTCACCCAAGGTGTGCCTGGTACAACTTGGAATATGTTCACAGTTGGTGCACTGTGGCCAGAGCACTTCCGGGTCTGACACGGAGCCACGCCACACTCACAGCGGCTAACGATGAGCCCGCAGCTGGTGCCGCTGCTGACACAGGACATGCACTCTCAGGCTCCAGGCGTGAGGCCTCAGAGGGCCCGGAGCTGCTCAGCCGCGTGGAGCCCTGTGCCCACTTAGGGCCACCAAAGAACAAAGGACCCATCTGTACACAGCGCAGTGTCCAGGAGGGGACAACCGGGATAGCCACCGGTCCCAGTGCATGCAAGGATGAGAACATTAAAATGAAGATTGCCGTGCCCACAGCAGGGAGCGAGCTGGGAGGTGCCGGCTGCTCTCAGGCTGCTTGGCAGGGCTCTGCAGGCCGCCTGCGCTGCTCTGGAGCCTGACCCAAGGGGATGGTTAGAGTGAGGCAGACAGATCCCACCTGGACCCGAGGGAGGATTTCCTGACACGAGAAGTCCTAGAGGCTTCCACCCACCATGTGGACGATGCTCCCTGGTCCTGAAGGCCTTCAGAGACGACACGAGTTCTAGGAAGGGAAGTTTCTCTCCGGGATCCCCCAAACCCCACATCACTCCCTTTGACCACTCATTCAGTCCTTCGAAGATGTGGCCAGGTGGCCACACCTATAAAGCTCTTAGCAGAGCACCCGGCACATACTAAGTACCCAACCAATGTGGCTACTCTTCTTGTTAATAGCGAGCATCTGTCATGTGCTTCCTGTGTGCCCAGCCCTGCCGGAAACTGGGAGAACTGCAGGGGGGGAGTCAAAGACGTATGAGACATGGCCTCTGGCTCCAAGGAGTGTACAGGCAGCAGGGAAACAAGACATCCCTAAAATTAGGGCAACGGGAAAGGCCCAGGCCCGTGGGTGCTCCCACTGTGTTAACCAGCTGTCCGGGCCCCCGCGGCCTCAGAGCCACATGCAAAGACTCAGGGATGCAGACATTACTAGTTGCTCACATACAAGTGCCATCCCCCCCCCCCCCATGCTCCTTGTTGGCAGAGCCACTGTCTGGCCCAACGTCCCCTCTTCCTCCACAGGACAAAGGAGTAAATCATGACCCTCTGAGGCAGTCACATCATCCATCCCCTTGCCAGGGGGACATGCAGGGACGTCACTGGGGGCTTTGAGGAAAGATCTCCTCAGCGATTCCCAAAAGAGGTGTGACACCTCTGCACCTAGGACCGCAGCAGCCACCGTGGGGCTGTGAGCGGTCAAGTCTACGGGCGAAGCTGACAAGATGGGGAGGGCAGAGGGGCCAGGGGATGGAACCTGCCTGCCACTGACCACGCTGAGCCATGAGCCACCTGGGCCTTCCGGTTAAGTGAGCGAGTGCAGTGGTTGGCAAACTCATTAGTCAACAGAGCCAAATATCAACAGGACTTCTTCAAAATAGACTCGCCCAGGCCGAAAACCGACTTCTGCGCATGGGCCACGAAGTTTCAATCGCACTATACGTGCGCGCCCGCACGTGGTATCTTGTGGAAGAGCCACACTCAAGGGGCCAAAGAGCCGCATGTGGCTCGAGAGCCGCAGTTTGCCGACCACGGAGCTAGTGGATCTTCCTCATTGCGTGAGCCAGCTGAGGCGGGGAGTTCTCGGAACCTCAGCTTCAGAACACTGATGCAGAAGGACAAACATGGGACACAGCCCCCACCCTCACCTGGTTCACACCCACACGGAACCACACGTGTCTGCTTACGCGCTCCATGTGCCCACCTACGTGGAACGGCTGCCCTTCCCTCCCTCGAAGCGTTGAGTCTACGGAAAGGTAGTTCCAAGAAAGCAGCGGGAATGCTGCCCCCAACCCAAATCGCGGGTCCCCCGGGAGCTCTCCCCACGGTCGGGAATTCGCCAAGCTCAGGAGTGGCCAAGGACCACACCCTGCCTGCCTTTCTATCCTGGGGAGGAAGCTGACTCAGGAAGGAGGGCCGTCTGCAAAGATGATGGCCCTGGAGGCCAGCTCCCCTTGAACGAGGCAGGGAGTCCACCAGCCGTGTACCCCTGATGGCATTCATCGGGCCTGGCCTGTCTGAGCCGAAGACGCCCCCTCGAGGGACATCAACTCTCTCTCTTTCTAGACCACAGAAGAGTCACCTAGCAACAGTGTCCGCAACATGGATAAACAGCCAGCACCTCCCATTCATTCCGCCACCCAAAGATCATTCAGCCGTGTGCCCTTAGAAAACTGAAGGCAGGGAGGTGTGGCACCACTCCGAGGTGTCCTTGGATAAACAGTTTCCCCAAATGACTCAAGTGCTCCCTCAACTCGGCCTCATTCCATTCCATTGGTGCCTCGTGTGCGCCACCACCACCGCCGTCATCAACTGTGACACGTCAATGAATCATTCATGTTCGGATGCTTTCTCACGGTCTCTTTGCAGAGAAAACTAAATGTGCGTCGTGAGCCCTGTGTGATGGCAGCTGGTCCACTGAGCTTCACACACGTGATCTTATTGCATCCTTCCAGCTCGGCGACGCAGAGAGGACAGGCACAGAGAAAAGGTCCGGAAACGCAGATGACTGCCGAGGTCACACCAAAGGTCAGAGATGGCACCAGGACCACACCCAGGACCCTGGGCTCCAGACGAAAGGATCCCAACAAGCAGCCCAGCTTGAACATATAATTCAACCGGTTGACGGACTGAGGGTGATTGGAAACCACGTGGTCTCGGTCTCCCTGACATGAGGGAGGACTCTTCGCCTCAAAGGCCCGTGGTGCTGCTGAGTCAGTGGGGTAAGTCTGAGGACACAGTGGCTGGCAGGGAACCCCAGGGAGGTGTGGGGCTCGACTCCTGGTTCTTCCCAGCTCGGTGTGTGAGCCTCTTGGAGACAGTCTCCTCCCCCGTACAGCATGGTGATGGTCCCCACGCGAGGATGACACGATGGATGACAACTCCCTGGCGTGACACCTGCTTACTCAAGGGCATCTCGCCCCCCCCCCACTCTTAGGGATGGGAAAAGAGAGATGATGGCTACCTTGAAACCCTACAGCGATGTTCCATTTGGACAAAATCACCCAGTGACATGGTCTAACGTATGTCACATGTCAATCTGATGTAGAGCCGGACACACTAGCCTTTCAAATCAGTCAGAAGAGTCAGGTGCAGGGCGAAGAAGAGGACAGAGGGCGGCGATGCGGGAAGAGGGAGGCAGGAGAGGAGAGGACAGGCCCACGAAGCCTTTGCCGGGGCATCAGGAGGTCTCCAGGGACCACCTGGCCCCTCTCCCACTCGGCCCTGCACATCCGGGCCACAGTTCTTGTCCTCTCCGCTTGCATCTGCCCGGGGACGGGCTGCTCACTGCCTTCAGGGACGAACAGCCTGGCCTTTGAAAAGATCTTCTGGGCACCAAGCTGGAATCTTACCGATTCCAGCTGTTGGCGTCATGGACTAGTCTGTTCCATACATCACACCACTACCCCTGTCTGTCTTCAGCTGCTCTCCTCCAAGCTGATCACCTCCAGTTCTGTCTCCCACCCTTAGTCACCACGGTTTCCCAGCCCTCCCCTCAGCACACCTTTGCGGGAGTGAGAAACGAGGGATGGAGTCACTCCCTCATGTCTGTGTATGTCACACCAGTTAGTGTCACAGAGGGAGCCCGCCTCCTCTGGGCCGACCACAAATCCCGCTTCTTTACAAATGGGTTTTGTGAGTTGTTTCAATCTAACAAACTCAACTTGGGGGACCCAATGCGCAAGGATAACACTAGGGGGACACATGCTTATCTGTACCAAGCGAGCAACAGAGGCAGGGCCTACGGAGAGAAAGATGCTAATTTCTTGCCAGCTGTGACGGTCCCCTAATCGGAAGAATCTGAGATCCAGAACAGAGTCTTCTGCCCCTTTGGCAGCACAAATAAAGGAGGAAGGCTGGCGGGAGTAGGAAATATCCCTCCACATCTCCTTTCAGACGGACCAGAGCTCCAATCCATGAGCGGCCCCAGCCTGCGAGCACTTTGCGGGAGCTACCTGCAGAGTGGCGCTCCGGCCACTAGGGGTCAGAGCAGACCAGTGCATCAGCTGCCAGCCCCTCAGAGGCTGGGAGAAATTCACCCAACACTCCTGCTCTCCGCCATCCCAGATCTGGGGCTGGTGGTGACCTTCTCCTCGGCCCTCTATGCCCCCTTCTGCATGAGGAGGGCATCAGGGGGTTGGGCTAGCTCAGGGTTTCTCAAAATGTGGCTCATATGGGCTTTGGGTACATATGTTGATACATCAAGTAGCATCCCTTTTCCTGTCCATTTTATCAGGGACCAACAGAAACTTCAACAGCGGGCAGTGGTTGAGCACGGCATTTGAGGACGACAGTTTAGAGATCAATATTTTTCAAAGGTGAGTAACACACAGCTCCTTGAAAAAGAAAAGTATTCTGGGTGGAGGAGGGCGATAGGGGGAGGAATGCGGGACTTCTGTAACATTGTCAACAATAACTAATATATATGCTTTTAAAATAAAACTATTCTTGCCAGACTATGTCCACAGACCCCCAGCACCGGTGGCCCCCGGCTGCACTGGCCCCTGCCTACTTACTCGTGTCTTTCGGTTGTGAGTCTCGCTGCAGAAGTTTAATCTCAACTGGAAATACATTTTTTTTTATATCATCCGCTAAGTAAAAATGCAAAATGTGTCAGTGTTTGTAGAACTGGAGGATTCCTGAGAATATCCCCAAGCTCCTCCGAAGCAGGTCCAGGCATCCATGAACCCACTGTTTCTCATGGAAGAAACACTAAACCGACCGCCCATGAACGGACGCCAGACGGACAGACGGACAGACGTGAAGAAGAGAAGAGCTACTCTAAGTGGTGTGAGGAGCCTGGAGCACAGCCTGGGGCAGTGATGGGTCTGTCTCGGCAGAGGGACAAAGGGCCCTGGGCTGTAGGGGAGAGGGAACAGCCACAGAGGCAGGGATGGGTGGCTGGGGTCGCTGTGAGCCCTGGGACTTCTCCATTATGTTTCTGTGCATCTGTGGGACGAGAACTGTGACAGGAAGGAGACAGAACCTGCAACTTTGCCCTAACCGGTTTGGCTCAGTGGATAGAGCGTCAGCCTTCGGACTCAAGGGTCCCAGGTTCGATTCCGGTCAAGGGCATGTACCTTGGTTGTGGGCACATCCCCAGTAGGAGGTGTGCAAGAGGAAGCTGATCGATGTTTCTCTCGTCGATGTTTCTAACTCTCTAACCCTCTCTCTTTCTCTCTGTAAAAAATCAATAAAATATATTTTTTTTAAAAAAGAACCTGCAACTTCTCTTCCTGGAATCATTTCACGCACCTCTCCTTGCAAGAAGGACTTCGTGGCAGTCCAGATGGAACGCCAAGAGGAACGCCGATAATTCTGACACCACAGCACCGTCCAAGGTGCCTGGGAAGAGACAGCGAAACTAAAGACAGTTTCCTGGGCTGGGGCAGACCACAGCCGGGGACACCCACCGAAGGCAACGATGGAACACACAGGGCAAAGAGCTGGTCCCGACAGGGAGGAGGAAACAGCTACTCCTATCCCTCCTATCCCGCAGAGCTCGGAAGGTTTGCTCTGCGCGACTGACCGTGACGGCCCCTCCCTCACCCCACAGTGCACCTCAGACTCGGGCGGAAGCAGAAGGTAGGAGAGACTGTCTTCAGCCTACAGTTGGGAGGATTTAGGGTTGAAGAGAAAAACTTCCCTGGATTTCTGGATCAGAGACAAGGAATGGTCAAGGCCTGGAGCATCTCCCTCTCTGGGAAACCCCGGTAGTCAAGCCGCTGGAGTCGGCCCAGAGGCAGGGGACTGGGAAATGGCTTCAGGTCACTGTCCTTTAGACCCGCAACCTGAGGTCGCTGCCGGGCCGTTTTACCCACTGGGCACCGTGGGCCCGGTGTGCACAGCCTGCAGGAGTTCCCAGGTTACAGAAATATTTGAAAACTGAAAAAACTATTGGTAACTCCAAGAGACAGAGAGAAACCTGCAAAACTGAAAGCAACAAGTCACTAGATGTCTGCAGTCAACAACAGCTCGAGTCGTGGATCATGACATCTGCCACGGAAGCCGGGAGCATCTGATACCCTTGCTGGGATGCGGGGCGGAGCCCACAGAGGTGTTCCTAGTTCCCTGGTCTCCCATTGACCCCTCCCTCTGCAGGGCTAGCCGCCCTGGCTTCCTCTTCCCTCCCCCGTCCCTCTTCTCCCCCACCCCTTTCCTCTGGATCTCAGCTCCTCCTGTTTCACCCTGGCCGCCACTGTCCATCAGGGCTGAGACAGATGTCCCAGGAATCTCCCACCAGCCCGGACACGCAGTCGGCTCCTGCCCGCGCCCGCGTGAGGAATCTCGGCGGCTGGCCCTTGGGGCCAGCAGGCCCTGCCCTGCGCTCCGTGCGGCTGCCTGGCAGGGGGGCCGACCCCAGGCTTGCCCGGGCCAGGCTGGTGGGTGGAATCCTAATTGAGTTGGGACCCAGAGGCGGTGTCATGTGGCAACTGGGAACACACGCTTCGGCATCTGCCGGACACGCTTCCATTCCCGAATCTGCTGGGTGACTTGGGACAAATTATTCTGTTTCTTCGAGTCTCCGTCTCCTCACGTGCAAAATCACACTCCTAATTATTAAAATCGGGTATCAGTGATTCTACCCATAATCCCAGCCCTGCACAGGGCATAGGGAGCAGCTGTGAGAGTTTAGAGCAGCGGTTCTCAACCTGTGGGTCGCGACCCCTTTGGTCGCCTAAGACCATCGGAAAACACATATATAATTACATATTGTTTTTGTGATTAATCATTATGCTTTAATTATGTTCAAATTGTAACGATGAAATTGGGGGTCACCACAACATGCGGAACTGTATTAAAGGGTCGCGGCATTAGGAAGGTTGAGAACCACGGGTTTAGAGGGATGATGGGTGATAAGCTTTCACTTTACAGGGCAATGCTAACAGCTCACACGTCCACCAGGCATTGACTATATTCTGAGCCATGCGACCCCTTCGGACTATTTCCATGAATTCTCCCAACAATGCCAAGACACGGGTCCCGTTGATCATCCCTGTGTTGTTCATGTAGCTCAGAGACTTGAAAGACTGGGCCCAGGATCACACAGCTGGGATTCTAATACAGGCAGGTCCAACCCCAGCCCCACACACTGTCCCTAAAACAGTAGCTTTAAAAATCATTCTGCCGCGGGCCATCAGCAGACCATTGACTAAGAACCAGAAAACCCAGGTTTGAAACAAGGCTTTACTACCTCTGAGCGGGTGTAAGTTTTTTTTGTGGTTTTTTAAAAAATATGTTCTTATTGATTTCAGAGAGGAAGGGAGAGGGAGAGAGAAACAGAAACATCAATGATGAGAGAGAATCATCGATAGGCTGCCTCCTGCACGGCCCCTACTGAGGACCGAGCCCACAACCTGGGCATGTGCCCTCCTGACCAGGAATCGAACCATGACCTCCTGGTTCATGGATCAATACTCAACTACTGAGCCACGCCGACCGGGCAGTGGGTGTAAGGTTTTGAGCAGTCCTGTGACCTCTCATCCTGTCCCCTTGTGTGTGAATGGAAGTAACAAGGCCCGTTCTGCCAACCGCACAGGGTGACAGCCAGCTCAGATCAGATGCTGGGTGTAAGTGCTGTGTGGACCGGCAAGCACTTGGCAAGCACATGGCAATGAATCTTCTTTATGCCAGGCCAGCGAAGTGGCTCTCCCAGCTCCACTTGAATACTCCCAGGGACAGGGAGCTCACTACTTCTTTTAGCAGCTCATTCTGGTTAGAAAGTTCTTCCCTTTGCAAAGTCTACAGGGACTTGCCTCTAACTCCATCACACTGGCCCTGGCCAGGTCCTCGAATGCCCTGCCAGCTGGGAAAATCCTTGTGGAACCCCACACCAGCTGCTGAAGACAGCTAAGACCTGTGTCCTTGCTCCCGCCACTCTGCCCTGGGCGCCCTGAACGCAGGAGGAGGCAGATGGAAGCAGGAGTATTCTGGGTTTGCCCTGGCTCCTCTCCTGCTAACTCTTCCCTCAGCCCCACTTGTCAGACTCCGGGCCAGGAGGAGAGGATCCAGGTCAAGGAAGAAGGTGAGGATGCAGCAGACACTGTTGGCTGCTCCAACCACTCACACTTCCTGATGCCCCTGTCCTCTGCCAACCCCTGCAGTGCCCCTGCTGGTCCTGCCACATCTGGCCGGCACTGGGGCTCTGAGGTCAGGATCATGTGGATCTTGGACCTCTTCCCTTGTCTGTCCCGACCCTCCCTGCCACAGCAGTCGGCAGCCGCTCTTGTGCCCGTACCTTGAAGGACTCCAGGAATCCCCCGTGGCCCCCGTTCTCAAACTTGTCCTCTTCCGGGCCGAGTCCCAGCATGGCCTGTGTGTGGGCATGGAGCTCGTCATGAAGGTTGTCCAAGAGGGCGGCCCTCGTCCGGTCCTGGGAGGGGGGGAGGAGATTGTGGAACAGGCACTGAGAGCAGAGCGGGCTCCAGCCGCCTGGCTGAGGGCTGCTATTCTGGCCAAGTGCATCTTGGTGGCGGTGTGAGCTAAGGCCAGGCTGGGCTCCACGCTCACAAATGTCGCACCTGACACTGCAGCTCAGTGCCCAGCCCTCTGCTCTCTTTCCGCTGCCCCTTCTCACTGGGCCGCCCCACCCCGCCAGCTCTACCTGACTCCTGGCCCGGCCCAGCTCTCTACCACTGCCCACTGCTCCTCTCCATCCAGAGGTTCCTCCAGAGCCATCTGTACAACCTCCAGGGGCCTCCAGGGGGCGCCATGCACCCAGACAGGGACTGGCCCTTTCGGTGACCCAGCCTCCAGATCAGCAGTCCCTGGCACAGCTACCTCCCAGTGGTCGCCTGTCAGCAAAGAGCCCAGCTGAAGGCCTAAGAGCCACCCCACCAATCCACTTCCCCCCACCCTTAATACAGAAGTCCATCGGGTCTTCCCCAAATCATTCCCCCTGTGCCTGGGGTAAGCAAGTTGCCATCGTCTCTCTTGAGCTCCTGTCATAGCTTTTAACTGGCCACCCTTCCCGCCCTCCTCCCTTTCAATCTACCCTCCCCACCACTGTCAGAGTAATCATCTAATATGCAAAGCAAACATCACTCTCCTGCCTAAGTCCTTTAATAGGGCCCATCCCCTCTAGCTCAAATCCCTTCTTGATATGACCCAACCTACGTCTCCAGCTGAGTCCCCACCATCCCATCCCTGAGTCCTTCCCTCGGGCCACATCAAACCCTCTGGAACCCCCTCACCAAGTCACGCTCTGATTCTGCCCTGACTCTTCTTTGCTCGTGCTGTTCCCATGCCTGGAATAACCCTCCCCACTCTTTCCTCCCGGCAAACGGCTCATCAGAGTCCCAGATTCAGCAGCTGAAGGGCCACCTCCTCTGAGAAGCCTTCCCTGAATACTCCCTAGACCCCCACAGGCAGAGGCAGTCACTATCCTGAGTCACAGCCCCCTTACAGGCCTCCATCAGGGCTCAGGGCTGGCAAACAGTATCTTTCCTCTAGCAATGGCCCCTCCCACCAGCCTGCGAACTGAGTCGCATTTATGCCCGTGTCCCAGGAAACAGAACGGAGCCTGGCACACAGTAGGTGCTCGATAAACGATTGGTCGATAAACGATTGGTGAATGGCTGACTAGACCTGAAATTTGGACTTAGTTTCCACAAGAAGAGTTACTGTATCAACACAGGACTGACGACTTCGAGGGGCAAAGACAATGCTCCCCCCCCCCCCCCCCCCAGGAACAGACCCCGGGAGAACCTGGCTAACAGGAGGGCAGGAGGAAGACCTCAGAAACCTCGTTCTCCCCTCCAGTTTCGCGAACTTGTCCGACTTGCAGCAGGCGTTCTCTGCGTTGGTGAGCTTGGTGAGCAGAAACTCCCTGAACTCGGGGCCCTGGAAGACAAGCAGCTCTGGGACTCTCCCAGCCTCGCCATGGGCAGGCAGAGCGGGGCGGGGGGGGGCGGGTCTAGGAGCGCCCCTGAAAAGTCCCTTCAGACATTGGATCACATCTAGCCCAGGCCAAGCCCAGCTGCTACGATGCCAACGTGGAAACCAGCTCCCCGGGTCCTGGGAAACCAACCCTCCACACCCACAGTGGCATTTCCGTGCCTGGAGGCGACTTCTGCCCCAGGCTCCTGGTATAAAAACGCTTCTTTCAGCAGAAATTCAAACTCCCTGAATGAGACCCTGTGCTAGGCCAGGCTGGCAGCAGGAGCAGAGGTGGGGGAGACCCCAAGTAAAGCCCCCCAACCCTGCTGAATAAAGGCCCAGCTAACGTCCCCGCCCAGGTTCGGCCCCACTGCAACCCCTGCCACTCAGGCATGGGACCCTGGAGTTTGGCTGTGAGAGGAGCAGAAGGGAGAGTGTCTTACCTTCTGGAAAACAGGGGGGCTGGGCAGAGGTGGGCCAAAGGCCGGCACGTCTTCCCGTGCGGTGACTGAGACCTGAAACAGAGCCTCGGTGTGAGCCAGGAGGGAAGATCCACGTGCCGTGCCCTGGCCCCAGGGCAGCCCCACTTCCAGCGGCAGATCTCGCCCCCTCCTCCCCTTGCCCCTGGGAGCCATGGCCAGCGTGGCAGAGCTCCTAGGAGTGGGCTGGATGGCATGGAACCATCATGCTCGTCTGCACCGCTGGAGGCCAGACGTGAGCCTGGCAAGAGGAGTGGACAGAGCCTGGGACCCCAACTCTAACGCAGTGCAAGCGCTCAGGACGCATCTCCTGGCCGCACTGCCTGGGATGCGAAGCCCACGGAGGAGGCACGGTGAGAATTATTAGCCCACGGAGGAGGCACGGTGAGAATTATTAGCCCACGGAGGAGGCACGGTGAGAATTATTAGCCCACGGAGGAGGCACGGTGAAAATTATTAGCCCTCCTTCGCTGGTGAGGAAACAGGTGCCCAGAGACTCGGAGTGACCCTCCCAAAGGCACACAGGGGATGAGCCACCGAGAAGAACAGAGAATCCAGACCCTGCTCTGGGGTTCTTCCCACAGCTCTGGCTCCCAACCTGTCCACATTTCAAGTGCTTAAACAAGAAATACCAATGGCACGGGCTCCCCCCCCCCCCACCCCACGCCTGAATCAGCAGCGCCGAGGCGAGCCAGGAATCTGCAGCTGGGAGCTCCTGAGAGCTCCTGTGCAGCGGGCGGGTGAGCGTCTGGAAGCCCTGACCCCCCCCCCCAACACACACACACACACACACACACACACACACACACAGGTCGGGCAGTTGGGGTGAGGCCTGAACCAACAGTGCAGCCCGGGCTGGGAAGTGGGGGTGGAGGACATCAGGGTGAGCTGCGTGCTGCGTGCTGCAGAGGGGGTACCAGGCTCTGGGTGGGTGCGCACCTCTGGCCAGCCTGGCGAGGCGCGAGTTAATGGAGTGAGAGGCCCCAGATGTTCTGTGTGGGGTCCCCCAGGCCTGGGACAGGCCCCACACCTCCATCTCCCCTCGGCAAGCAGGTGCCCTGGTTTCACCCGTCCTCGGCCCACGAGGCTGCAGGCCTCTCTGGAGATCTGCCCTCTCCCCGCTCCCAGGCGGGCAGCTCTGACGTGAGCGCGGCCCTGGCCCACCGCCAGCTGCTGGCCTGTGAAGTAGGGCAGATGCTGAGAGCCGGCCAGCCAGGGTGAGCAGGCAGCTCGGAGCCCGGCCAAGGAAAGGCCCGGCCAAGGGTCCGCAGGGGAAGGGAGTGGAGAGGGCTGGGCAGTACCAAGTTCAAAGCTGTCGGCAGGGCCCACAGGGCAGCGACCACAGTCAGGAACCGGGGTATGGGCTGCTGACGTGATTTCTGGCTGGTTCCAGCTGCCAAACACAGTTCCCCACCACCACCCTCCATGCGCCATGGCACAAGTCAAGAATTCCACCCCCAGAGCCAGAACCTGGGGAGGGGGTGGTGGGAAGGCTCCTGACCGGCTGCCGACGGGGCCAAGGCCGGAGGCCAGGCCTAGCCCTCGCTCTTCCCACCTGGACACCCCTCTCAGGCGTGCACAGCGTGGGCTGAGCTGACTGGGCAAATGGCTTCGTGTATGTTCTGAAATCCACCAAGTGTCCAGACAGACAAGTCCGCCGCAGCAGCCACGTCAGAAAAGAGGGGACAGGCCCTTCCTGTGACGGCCATTCCTGTGACGGCCATTCCTCTCCCGTCCCCTCTCCTGACCCCTTTCCAGCAGAGCTCGGGCCTTTGTTGTTCCGCCTCTTGGGGACGGTTGGGTTGCTGGGCTGAAAGCAGAAGCTCCACCTTCCTGTTTTCTAAATTCCGTGCAGGCCGCCCAGCAGGGGCCGAGCAGGGCTCAGAGGCAGCCGGTTACTCGGGGAAGAGACTCTGCAAGGCTGGAAAGCGGACGGAGGCGAGGGCCTGTGAGGAACGAGGATGCGCCAGGAGGTGGGAACCTCACAGGCTGGCGCCCACGAGGGGCCTGGAAACCTCAGAGAACCGCCCAGGTGGCTGGAGCCAGGGACGGCAGTGAGGGGAAGGGGGCACACGCAGACCCCTCTCCAAGGATCGGCTTCACCTAAGACCCCTGAGACCTGGGCAGGACTTCAGGGGCCAGGCTCAGGGCGGCTCAGGCAGGAGGAGGAGGAGGGAGTCCTGATGATGGCTCGGCTGGCATTCCCTTCCAACCTGGCAGGATGGGGACCAAACTTGTGTCTGGAGAATAATCCCATGTGACACTTCACGCGCACCCGGGTTTGGAGCCAAGTTCCCGCCTGCTCCGACGGCTCAGTGTTGGCGACCACAGGCCGACCTGGACAAGGCGACGCCGCCTTTTCCCTACTAAGCGCACCTAATAAAGGGCACCTGAGGTACCACACAGTTCCCCAAACCACTTCTTATCCGTCTCACACACACACCTGTTTCTCAACTTCCCCCTGCCCCTTCCGACCACATCAGGGCTGGAAGGAACTCTGAGGTTGTCTAGCCCAACTTCCTCATCTCACACAGAATCAGAGGCCCAGAGGGCGCAGGGACTGGCCAAGGTCACAGTCAGAGGACCAGAACCCCAGGCTCCGAGACTCTAGGCCTGGGCCCTTTCCTGCACGTCCCCACCCCACCCTCCCCTCCTCTCCTATTGTTTGTCCTCCCCCGAGGGGCCTTCCCAAGGCACTGCTGAGCCCGGGAAACCTCCCTCACCTGCTTTTCCAGAGCCCCTCAGCCTGGGCCCCCTGAGGCACCTGACCAGGTCCTCCTCAGTCTGCTCATCACCTGGGGTTCACGGAGGTTTGGGGAGCACCTTGGAAGGCTGGTCTCCCTCCCTGCCCCCTGCCTCCCTGGCCCCCATTCACAGATCTTGCCTTCCAACCTCCACGCTCTCCTGACAGGTGGAGCACAGGGTCCCACATCCGGGGGCCAGCCCTGCTCTTCCTGTGCGGCCTACCTCCCTGCTTCTCACCACCTCTCTCAGGGAAGCGCTTCTACCCGGACCGCAGGCTGTGGCTGGGAAGACTTGGTAAAGACTTCTAGCATCACAGCTGGAGGTGGGGTGCCGATCTGGGGACCTCCGACTTTTCTCTGTTTGTCCTAAGCTCTTGGGAAAGTGGAGAAGCCAGTCAGCTGAGCTCCACTTCCTATCAGAAACTTTTAAAATGCTCAACGGCCACAAGAGGGCCCATTCGGCCAGCAGAGGCCCAGCAGACGAGACGAGCCACACGTATGCACGTGCACGGGACTGCCTGGCCGGGTCTGGGAGCCTCCCCGCCTCTCGCCCATCACACACCTTTCTTTGGGGATCCCAAGCAGTAGCTCTTCTCTCTCTTCCCTGAAGGCTGGTTCTGAAGGTCACTTGCATGTGCCCACCCCTGGCACACAGTAGGCACTGAGTGAATAACATCTGCTTCCACTAACAAATCCAGCAGCTGTTCGCCCATTTCGGTCAAAGCAAGTGAGCCTTCAGGGAGATGCCCAAACCATGGCTTCTCTACCTTTTCGGCTGAAACCGCTCAGTGACAGGAGGCCATGAACATGGACATGGGCATGAAGGAGATCGGCTCTCCTCCTCAGCAGAGAGGTGTGGGGTTTGTTTGGTTGTGTATTTGTTGGTTGGTGTGGGGGTTTTTTGAAGCCTCATACTTGGCTTTAAAGTTGATGTGAATTCTGCACTTAATCTGTCTGGCTTTGTACTGATATAGCAAATATATCACATCATTTTATTTTCCCTAAAACTTCCAGCAAAATGGATACTCCATGCAGACGGCTACAAGGCGCTAGGGCTTCGTAAACCCCCAGAACCAGCGCTGGCCCAAGTTATGACACAGGAAACGTTCCCGGGCCTCAGAGCTTCCCATCAGCATGACAGGCTTTTCCCTCTCCCTGTAACAGCGGCTCCTAACCTTGTGGGGAACAGGCAGTCCGCTGAGAACCTGAGCTGCGGCCTCTCCCCCTAGGAAACGCAGAGAAAACGCCAAGAAGCGCATACACTCGACATTCTGCACGCATCTGCAGGGGGTTCAAGGGCTATATGACATCCACTTAGGAACCCCCTGCTTCAGTCTGTCTCCCTGGGGTCTCATGCCCCCCAACACTGTGACGCAGAGAAACTGATGCCCAAGAGGTGGGGATTATTTCTGGCGGAGAGGCAGAGAGGAGAGTTAGTGATTCAGCCACCAGAGGGCAGTGTGAGGGCCGCTGAGGTGGTGGGCTCACCCGCATCCATGAGGATTTTGAGCTCCTCTGAAAGACTGCTGATAGGTTAGGGCAGTGGTCGGCAAACTCATTCGTCAACAGAGCCAAATATCAACAGTACAACGATTGAAATTTCTTTTGAGAGCCAAATGTTTTAAACTTAAACTATATAGGTAGGTACATTGTTATTAACTTAATTAGGGTACTCCTAAGCTGGCCTTTGCTAAAAACGTCCTCAATCTGATTGAGGTACGTTCGCTGAGGTCGACCCCTTCCAACTCTCCCATCCACACTCGTCTTGTATGCTTGTTTTGTCTATCTCCTTTCGTTCATCCTCTCTATATGTCCAAACCATCTCAACATACCTTTCTCAATCCTCGACACTACATCTTCCACTCCACAACGTTCCCTAAAATTAACTTAATAAACTTTAAAGTTTTAAGTCAACTTCGCACTGTACGTGCGCGCCCGCACGTGGTATTTTGTGGAAGAGCCACACTCAAGGGGCCAAAGAGCCGCATGTGGTTCGCGAGCCGCGGTTTGCCGACCACTGGGTTAGGGGGCTGAGACCCAAGTACTCATAATCCACCCCCTGGCAGTCTTCAAATGAAGATCAACCATTTATTCCAGAAGAGCTAAACCAGAGGGGCCACCCGGGGGCCAGGGGCTCCCAGGCCCCTGCGCCCCACCCTTCTCACCACGAACACCCCTTTTCTTTCTTTTCTTTGTTGCCACCCTCTTCCTCTCCCTTTCCTGACAGTCCTCTCTGTGTTTCCTCCTCCCCTCTGGTTCTGCCAATGGCGTGACCAGATTCCCAATAGGAGCATCCGGGCTTCTCAACCCTTCGGTTAGAACCGTTAGATGGTGCTGAGCCTGGAGGAACCAGAAGGATAAGATGACCTCAGAGGATGGGTGCTCCCCACTAAGAGTTGAACCCCGCCGAAACCGGTTTGGCTCAGTGGATAGAGCATCGGCCTGCGGACTGAAAGGTCCCAGGTTCGATTCCGTCAAGGTCATGTACCTGGGTTGCGGGCACATCCCCAGTAGGAGATGTGCAGGAGGCAGCTGATCGATGTTTCTAACTCTCTATCTCTCTCCCTTCCTCTCTGTAAAAAATCAATAAAATATATTTTTAAAAAAACAGTTGAACCCCCAAATCCCAGAAACCAGAGAGCCGTGGAGAATCAGTCACACCACAGCCAGGAGTGGCACCTTGGAGACCAGGTCGAGGAACCACCGGGAACTGGTATTTCCTGGTCTCGCCGAATCCGTCAGTGTGGTGAGGCGCCTCGGCCACCGCGCCCTCCGAGAGACTGTCTCCTCACCTTGTAGGCCGGGGTGTCCGTGCCCGGGCTCTCGGCCTGCACCACGATGTAGGCGTGCAGGAAGTTGGAGGCAATCATATCTGGGACAAACGGTGTGTTTTCTTCTTGGAAGATGACGGCCACAATGTCATTCCCAATGTGTCTCTTCCTCTGGAGCTAAACAAAAAGCGTCCCATTGTTATCAGCCAGTTGGGAACATCCTGACAGCAGAACAGATCTGCACAGGAAATGCCTCGTTATGCTATCTTTATACATACACCCTGGAACTCGGGGACCTGGCTCTCCGGGGAGCTTTTCATTCTCATCTTTAGAAGCCATCAAAAGGGAAAAAGTGGGGAAGGCGCCCAAGTTGTTAGGTAGAGACTAGCAGGCATCTCACTGAACTCCAGAGTGTGCAGAGCTCACACTCGGGGCTCGGGGAGAAGAGTTCGCAGTGGAGGCCCAGGTTTTGCCCTGGGAGAGCAAGTGATCCAGGAGAAACACAAACACAGGTGAGAACTACACTGAGAACAGGAACAAGGTCACCAGCCTGCAAGCAGTGAATCGGCTCCTGCACACAAATGCCTGCCACTGTGGGGTGCAGGGGGCAGGGAAGGGGGCAAAGTCAGAGACCTGAGGGTAATCTGAGAAGGCTTCCTGGAAGAGGGGGCAGTGGGGGGACAATTGATGGGAAGGTGGGTGAGCAGGGATGAGGCGGCAGATCATTCTACACCAGAGGGGAGGAGAACCATGCTTAGAGACACAGGGGCAACATGGCTTAGTGGAGGTCATGGGGGAGAGAGAAATCCAACCCTGACTCAGTACCGCAAACTGTGCCAGGTGCTTTCACAGGTGACCTCAGTCACCACGCACCTGCTGTGCAGCAGGAGCCGTGCTGGGCTATCCACACGCACGATTTCAAATGACAAGGCCCTCCTGTGCACCAAGTCCTGGCGAGGTGCTTGCCTGTGCACTTGTTCCTTTATTAAGCACCTACTGCATGCAGGCCCTAAAATTCACTTTGAGTTTGTTTACTGGGCACCTGTTTTATATACTGAGCCCAGTGCTGGGCACTCCTACACAAATTCTCTCCCTTATTCTACACACACCATCTCATTTCTTGGGAAGAGAAAATTAATATTTATTCAGTCCTTGCCAACAGCCTGCCTCGACATACTTCCCACTTAACACAGGTGAGGCTGAAAGCGGGCGGAGAAGGGCCCTCAGCCGCAGGCTGGGTGGCGGGAGGGGCCGTGAGGGGACAGAGATTGGGGTGAAACACAGAGAAAACCTGCTTTGGCTACAAAGGGATTCCTGTCCCAATTTGTTTTTGGAAACATTCAGTAGTTATTTAGAAGCCCAAATCAAAAGTCCCATTGCCAATTCCCTTTTTTTTTCCATAGAAAGCCGAGCACTGTTTACAGTATTACATTTGCGCTCCCTACTCAGAGATGGATGGGTCGGCGTCTGGCGAAAGGCCTACCTTCCCTGCTTATTCTCCTAGAGACTGAGAAGGCAAAGGGCGGGGTGCAGCAGCCAGAGATCAACTGCTGGATTCGGGGCTCAACAAGGAAAAAGCCAGGCCTTCCCTGGGGACACACAGCATCAGAAGCAGCAGCGGAGAGGGTGCGCAGGAAAACCTGGGAGCGAGGTCTCCTCCAGGTTCTCTGGTTGAGGGAGGGGCTCAATTCCTGCCCACGGTCAGGTGTGCTGCGAGCCCTGGGAGCCGAGGCTGTGAGACTAGAAAAGCTGGGGGGGGGGGGGCGGGCGGGAGGTGTCTTGTGCACTAACCAGTTACATCACTGGGGCAGGAAGCGGGGCACAAGCCTCATGGTTTGGGTAGCGAACAGCTGTCAGATAGGAAGGCTGCCGCACGCCCAGCATCATACTGGGTCCTACATTCAGAACCAGGTGTGATCCCCACAAGAACGCTATCCCCATTTTACAGATGAGAACAATGAGGCCACGAGATCAACCGCTCGCCCAGATCCCTCCCTCCAGCCCCTGGTTACCTGCTGGGCGTCTCCCTCGGTAAAGGGCAGCTTTGTGGAGACGTGAAACATGATCTCCCTGTCCCGAAATATCGTGTACACCGACTCCACCCCCGTCTGTCCGTGGGTCACGTCCAGGCCTCCTCGGAAACTGTCAGCACAAAAAACGGGGCGAGTGCCCCGGGAGAGAGAGTGGGCATTAGTGGGCAACTTGGCGCAACTTTCCCTGAAAACATGGGGCAGGTGAAGGGATGAGGGGCGTGGAGAGTTGGCCGAGAGACTGTGATGCGGGGAGAGCAGGCGGGTCTGCCCTTCTGTGCAGAGGAGCCCTGAGCCCTGGCGTCCGCCCAGAAACGCACACTGAAAAGACAAAGACGAATTCCAAGCTTTGGCTGCGTCCCCTCCATAATGTAAGTCATGTGGGAAGGGAGGTTGACCACCCACAACTCCCAGATGAGTGCTGTCCTGGGTGCCAGGAGCCCCTAAGGCTGGGCACCAGCCTAAGCTCCCTGCAAGGCCATGTCCAAGTCCTCGGCCCAAAGCCCAGGAAACCGGCCATCCTGCTGGGTGGTGGTGAGCCCCACAGGAGCCTCCAGAGTCAGCCTGAAGAGGTGACAGGTGCCTGACTTCTGGCCGGCCGGCGTCCGATGGGGGGACCGGACCCCACACGGCAGCACCCAGCCTGGAGGTGCCCAAGGAGGCCCCTCTCCTGCTATCTCCCCACAGGCAGGAAAGGAGCTAAGGAACTGGGTGGCTTCTGACAGCTGCCCCTTCTTCCTTTATGGACACGGGGCTGCTAGCCACGGATCACATTCTTCAGCACGAAGAGGAGGATGCAGGCTCCTTTAAGAAGATGAAATCAGATAGACCCTGGACATCAGTCCCCCCAGGCTCTGCACTCAGCCGGCGTGGCAGAAAGCACGCGGCCGGGGTCAGGCGCTCCAGGTTCTAGGCCTGCTTCTGCCCCTAAGTCAGCCCAGGGCCTTGGCATCTCACTTCATCTCTCTGGGCCCATTTCCTTTCTCTGTAAAATAAAGGGGTAGGCCGTGGCCAGCGTGGCTTGATGGTTAGAGCTTTGGCCTGTGCACCGGAGGGCCTCGGGATTGTTTCCAGGTCAAGGACATGTACCTGGGTTGCTGGTTTGATCCCCAGCCCCATCGGGGCACATACGGGAGGCAACCAATCGATGTGTCTCTCTCACATCTCTCTCTCTCTCTCTCTCTCTCTCTCTCTCTCTATCTCTCTCTATCTATCTCTCTCCCCTCCCTCCCTCCTTCCCTCCCTTCCACTCTCTAAAAATCAATGGAAAACTATCCTCAGGTGAGGATTACCAGAA